CAACTTCTGTCCAGCGGAAGCCCCGCTCCAGCATTCTTTCACGCGATACGCGACAAACCCAGCCGAACAATGTTAAGGTCCGCGCGCTCGCTGTGCCAGTGCCGGACCGCGTTGCAGAGTGTGCGGCCTCGCCCCCAGTGAGATAAACTAACGTGTCTTCAACGTAGAATCGACATCGAAATATCGAAAAGGCGTGGTTTGCTGGACAGAGAGGCGTTTATTCGACTATTCAGCCGTCGAATCAACATCGATTCGGCGTTAAAGAAAATTCATATCTCACCGAGGCCGACACCGTGGGCCTCGCCTCGGCTACATCCCCCTTTGGTTGACAGTTTCCTTTCTATGCCGCTCAAGCTGCTTTAGTGTTCCGGTGGTCCAAGATGACACCCGTACTCGTAGTCTTAGCACTTGCAAGCCAGGCGGGCATCGACGGCAAATCTACCATGAACACTTTTGCGGTAAGTTATAAAACACTGTGAAAAATAGTAAATAGGTTTACAGGAAATTTTACTTGACGCAAGTTGTAAAATTACAATTTGGAATCGTAAAAATAGATGCAGTACGTATCGACTTCAAATCCATTGGCGAGTAAACAATGTGCTCTAGTAAATTTACAACTTAAATTATAATTCAGGTTTACAAAAATTTTGGAAATTTACGGTGACATTTTTTTAGGGAAGAATCTATTTTCATTGCCCCTGTGCCCTCGTACACTGATACATAAAGTGTGCAACTGACACACACTTTAAGGTGTTTAACACCGTGTGGCACACTTCTATGTGTGCAACACGAGTTTTGAATAGTTGGAAGTGTTAAACGGGTGTATTGCACACTTTTAAATGTTCAACCTGACCGACGAGCACTATAGCTCAACGATCAAGTTGAACACTAAAAAGTGTGCAACACACCTGTTGAACACTTCCAACTATTCAAAACTCATGTTGCACACATAGAAGTGTGCTACACGGTGTTAACCACCTTAAAGTGTGTGTCAGTTGCACACTTTATATATCAGTGTAAACTCACCCTTCACCAAATTTAATCTATGTTTTATTTATTTGTTATTGAACGCTTGTATTAATTTTGATGTTGACAGTTTTAATTAAAATTTGTTAAGTCTTGTTAACAGTTGCTGAGACCCAGATGTTTAGACGACGTTGTCCACTCTCCAGTTTTCCACGTTTTTCTAGGTCCTATCCATCGATACGGTGATGTGATAGCATATTTTTTTCGCGTAGGGTCCCTACCTGACTTTCGCCGATCGCTTTTACATGTGCGAACCACCCAAGTATCCGTGGCTAATAAATGTGCGAACGAGTCACTTTAACCCATATAAACAGAAAGAACTACAACTGATGACAGGCAACCTGACGGGTGTAAATGTTACTGTGGATGACGGCTTCTGGGTAAGATATTGCTGTTTGAGATATTCCTTTGCACTAATTTGTGACGTTCTGATAAGGAGAGG